GATTTTGTGTGGATTAACCAGCAGATTTGTCCCCGTGTGATAACGTCCCTTGAAATATAAAGGTCATTTGGGAATTCCTCCTGGACAGAAGGTTGAAATGTAGGGCATGTCCTGGAAAAGGAGGGTTTCTTGGCAATGTTTCACCAAAGGCCCAATTAATGAGGGGTGACATTCAGGAGGGAGTCAGCGAGCGCTTTTGGGCGGAGGATATAATGGTCCCAAACACATTGCAGAAGTAATCCAGTTTGAGACTGCTTTAGCTGTTCTGGTGCAGTGCTAGAGAATTCTGGGAACTGTACTTTTGGGAGACATTTAGCCTTTTCTGTCAGAGACCCCTGGCACCACAATAAACTACAATTCCCTGGATTCCCTAGCACTGAGCCAGGGCAGTTAAAATGGTCTCAAAATGGATTATTTCTGTGGTGTGTTTTGGACCACTGTGGGAGTTTTGTTCTTGTTTCTCTCAGTGAGCTGGGAGTTAAGCCTGGAGAGGTTTGCAGGGTCTGCCTCCAGAAGCCAGGGAGCTTAATAGCTTCCTGGCCCAGGAGGACTTTCCTGCCTAATAAAAACCAGACTGGGAGGGAAAAGGAGGGAACTGGCCAAGACGAGGTTCTAAGGCAGGGGTAGGCAACCTAAAGCCCGGGGGCCGGATGCGGCCCTCTGAGGCCTTTGGACCGGCCCCAAGCCGGTCCTGCCACCGCCGCCTGCCTCCGCCGCCACCACCCACCATGATGATATTGATTATTGTTGTTATTACTTGTTCTTGGGGTTTTCTTGGCAAAATCTCCACAGGGGTTTTGCCATGGCTTTTTTGGGGCTGAGAGAGTGTGCATGCATTTTTAATTTTTTTAAAAAATATTATTTTTTAATTTTAATTTTTATTTATTTATTTATTTATTTATTTATTTATTCATTTTGGGTGCTTCGGCCCCCCAATTGTCTGAGGGACAGCAACCCGGCCCCCGGCTCAAAAAGGTTGCCTACCCCTGTTCTAAGGAGTATGGGGCCTCAGGCAGCAGGAAGGTGGGGGCAGGCTGACCTGGCGTCCTCCTCTCCCAGGACACGTCCTCCATTTCAGCCTCCTGTCCAGGAGGAGTCCTAAAATCTCCTCCATTCAGAGCGTGACTAAGAAGCAGGGATTTAAATTTCTATGAGTGTTTTTTTTTTTTAGCTTTTAATTGGTCATGTCCTCCATTTCATACTTCTATCCAGGAGGAATCCCAAAAATGCCCTCCATTTTGAGCAGGGACTCAGAAGCATGGGTTTATATTTCTATTAAGTGTTTTGAGATTTTATTTGGTCACATCCTCCATTTCATCCTTCTGTCTAGGATGAATTCTACAATGTCCTCCATTCTGAGCAGGGACTCGGAAGCATGGGTTCATATTTCTATTAAGTGTTTTGAGCTTTTATTTGGTCATGTCCTCCATTTTCTTTTCCAGGACATGTCCTCCATTTCATCTTTCTGTCTAGGAGGAGTTCCAAATTGTCCTCCGGTTTGAGCCTGACCAGAGTGACCAGACATTCTCCTTTCCTAGAGTACATCCTCCATTTAATCCTCCTCTCTAGGAGGAGTTCCAAAATGTCCCCCAGTTTGAGCCTGACCAGGGTGACCAGATGTCCTCCTTTCCCAGAGCATGTTCTCCATTTCATCCTTCTATCCAGGAGGAGTTCCAAAATGTCCTCCAGTTTGAGCCTGATGTAAACCCACGGATTTACGTTTATATGAGTGTGTCTAGCTTTAATCTCACCACGTCCTCCATTTTCCTCAAAGGTTGGCCGGGGTTTGGATGGAGTCCGTACTCCTTCCTTTTTGGAGGGACACCAGCAGCATGGACTCCCCCTCCATCAGGACAGGAGGGCCAATGTAATAAGAGCCCATCCCGAGCCCATTCCATGCCCCTGACTCCAAACCTCGCTCCCTTTCACACCACACCTTTAAGATGCGTGCTGCATGATGGGGTGAGCTCCTGTCACTAGTCCCAGCTTCTGCCAACCTAGAAGTTCAAAAGCATGCAAATGCAAGTAGATAAATAGATATCACTTTGGTGGGAAGGTAATAGCGTTTGGTGCAGTCATGCTGGCCACAGGATCACAGAGCAGTCTGTGACAATGCTGGCTCTTTGGCTTAGTAATGGAGATGAGCACTGCCCCTACGGTCGGACATGACATGACAACCTTGTCAACGGGGAATACCTTTTCCTTTACCTACCAAATACGGTACATGTGTTACATTAAAAACACACACATGTATTGGAAGTGACATCCACACTTCATCCCCCATTGGCCAAAAGTTTGGGAAGGGGGCGGGGGAGAGGGATATTCTGCTTTCCCTGGCACCCGGTGAGTCGAGGTTTTTTGTTCCATCTGCACTGCAGCAATAATCCAGTTTGACACTCATAAAACTACAGTTCCCTGGATTCCCTAACACTGAGCCAGGGCAGTTAAAGTGGTCTCAAACTGGATTATTTCTGCAGTGTGTTTTGGACCTATGATTCTGGAGGCCAGGGTTCGAATTCCTGCGGGCTCATGGAAACCCACTGGGTGACTCTGGACACATCACACTCTCTCAGGCAGGGCAAATTCCCTCTGAACAAATCTTGTCAAGACAGTCCTTTGATAGGGTCTCCTTGAGCCGGAAAGTGACTTGAAGGCATGCAACACACACACAGTTCAGCATTTTGCACTAGGGAGAAAAGATATACCCTCTGAAATTTTTGGAAGTGACTACTGCCTGTCTGTTACCAGGACACCAGATGAGGGCTGGGTAACTTGGTATGAGTCATATCCTTGCATGTTATAATTTGAAAAATGTGAATGGCCTCTTTCTTCCTCTCTATTACTTTTTCTTCTGCTGCAGTGGTGATTGCAAACTTCTCAGGGTAGGGACTCATGTTCTTACTATATTTTGAAGAGCCCACAGTGCTGGGTGAATGAATAAATCATCAAATAAGCATTGGTACGTAATTAGGCTCCTTCCATTCAGAATCTGGATGTTTTGAGTGTGTGCGGCTGTATGCAAAGTAATCTCCATTGCTTTTATCCGCAGTGATCAGTGGAGACAAAAGTGTTAATCGTATGTCGAATCTGATGAAATAGATGCTTGCCTCTGCGAGAGTTCATGTGCCGTACTAGCTGAAATTGTTGATTTTTCTACAATGCTTCAAAGAATTTATTGCACTGTAAACGTGCCGTCATCTTGGCAGCCAAGACTAACATTTCCTGGAATCGCTCCCTCCTCTTATCTATGTGGGTGTCCTTCTCACATGGGCCACTTCCTCCACCATAAGGGGGATCATCGTAAGTGGGGGTTCTCGCTAGTCTTTACTCACTTATTATTAATCCAAAGCCAGCTCTAAGTCGGACGGTGGAGAGACAAAGCAATTGTTGGTGACTGGCAGAGTCAAGTGATTGCACATGAGCTGGTCTTGTGATGATTAATAATGACATGCCTGTGAGGATTAAATGCCTGAGAGAGTACTAATGAGGGAAATGGGCTTTAACAGTGGATTAATTCAAGGGTAGAGAACCTCTGGCTTTCCAGACAATTGGGACTCCAACTCACATCAGCCCCAGCAAGCATGGCCAGTGGTCAGGAATCATGGGAGCTGGAGTCCTATGAGAAGTGGGGGCTCACAAGCTCCCTATTTTGTTATTAAGCAAAGTATGAAAAAAGAAATATGACAATAAAAACATTCTCTCTTAATCAGGCCAGGTAAGATGTTGGACTTCTGCTTGTTGTGTCCTTCAGGTCATTTAACTTATGATGACCCTAAGGCAACATGTCACAGGGTTTTCTTGGCAAGATTTTTTTCAGAGGAGGTTTGCCATTGCCTTCCCCTGAGGCTGAGAGAGTGTGACTTGCCCAAGGTCACTCAGTGGCCAAAGAGGAATCGAACCTTGGCCTCCCATGGTAGACGTAGGGTTGCCATAAGTCAGAAATTACAAAGGCACACAACATACACACACACAATGTTCAGATTATAGAGGGGAGGGGAAGGCAGGGGGACAGTGGGGCTGCATTCTCTATGGTCCTACGCAGTTCTAGACCTGGCTTAATATTATTTTATTTTCCTGTCTGTTTTTGACTTACATTCAGTGGCTAGAGCAGACCCATGGAATCAACTTCTGAGTGCTAAGTCAATGTGTGTATAAATCTCATTTGTTCAATAGCTCAACTGTAGTTGGGAATAGCAGATGGATTTAGGCCCTAATATTTAACCTAAAGTAAATTAATTAATTCTAATGCTAGTTAGCATTTTGTACTTTGTGCTTGTTTACAATAATGGCATCACTATGCTGTCAAGTATTAGGGCATGTTT